GCTGCCGAAGGCCATGCCGCGGGTGGGGGACCGACGGAGCGAGGTCTCCTGGCTGTGCTCGAGCTCGTGGGCCAGCAGGTGCCTCTTGCGCCCGAAGAGGAGGCCGCAGACCCGGCACGGGTGGAGGCCCTCGGCCACGTGGCTGGCCCGGTGGCGGAGCAGGTCCCCCTTGAGGCAGAACTGGCCGCCGCACTGGGCGCAGGCGTGGGGCTGCTTCCCGCGGTGCTTCTTGTGGGTCAGGAGGTTGAGCCGGTACCGGAAGAGCTTCCCACAGGCCGTGCAGGCAAAGGGGCCCTTCTCCTTCTCGTGGAGGGCCTGGTGTTCGCGCAGGGAGGCCCCGTCCCCAAAGCTCCGCCCGCACTCGCAGATCTGCCACTCCGCCGGCTCTGGGGAGCCCCTGCCCTCCGCCTGCTCCCAGGGGCCTTGCAAGGCGCCCCCCACGCCCGGCGGCTTGGACTCGCTCCAGCTGGGGCAGGCGGGGAGGGAGCCGACGTCTGCCCCCCAGGGTCCGCTCTCAGGGCACCCGGGGGGGCTCCAGCTTCCGCTGAACTCGTCCTTAATGGCTGGGTCCTGCACACTCGGGCTCTGGGCAGCTGTGGGGAGAGAGACGTGAAGTCACACCACCGGGAGAACCGGAGCAGAGGGGCCGGCCGGAACAGGCCGCTGCTCTGTTTGAAAAACGAACCCAATGCCCGCTGGAGGCCCCTGGGAGCACTCCCCTCCCATCCCCCCCAACAGGAAACGTAGAATCATAGCGCTGGAAGGGACCTCCAGAGTCATCCAGGCCAACCCGCTGCATGATGCAGGAGATTCACAACTACCTCCCCCTCCACACACCCGCAGTGACCCGCGGTTCTACGCCCAGAAGATGGCAGAAAGCCTCCAGGATCTCCAGCCAAACCGGCCTGGAGAGAATTTGCTTCCTGACCCCTACGTGGCGATCGGCATTTCCCTGGGCGTGTAAGAAAGGGCCACATTTGGTGTAGTGGTTAAGGTGTGCGGACTCTAATCTGGGAGAACCGGGTGTGATTCCCCACTCCTCCTCCACTTGCACCTGGCTGGATGACCTTGGGCAACCCGTAGTTCTGATAAGAGCTGTCCTTGAAAAAGAGCAGTTTCTGTCAAGAGCTCTCTCAGCCCCGCCTACCTCCCAGGGTGTCTGTTGTGGGGAGGGGAAGGGAAAGGAGTTTGTAAGCCGCTCTGAGACACCTTTGGGTAGTGAAGGGCCATGGGGTATAAATCCAGTATCCTCTTCCTCTTCTTCTTCTTCACATGTGGCTGAAAGGACCCCCACCCACCCCTGAAGCACCAGAGAGGAGACAGGGACACAATCAAAGGCAAGGCGGGTCTCTGCCCCCCCCCCAAGAACAGGTAAAGGCGCCCCGGGGCAGACAGAGAGCTGGAGGGGACTTGGGTGCTATGGGGAAGTGGGGCTGCCTCGTGGGGCTTCCAGGAGGCTCCGGGGTTTCCCTTCTCTTCCCTCTGATCTTCCCCAAACCTCCTTTGCTATGGTTTTTTTCCTGGGGGATTTTTCCAGCCCGCCTCCCCCCATGGCAGCCATTCCCCTCCATACTGATGCCACCAGGGGTGGGGCCCTTTGGGGGGGGGGAGACTGTAGAAGAGGAGGAGGAGGAGATTGGATTCATACCCCATGGCCTTTCACTACCCAAAGGAGTCTCAGAGCGGCTTTCAAACTCCTTTCCCTCCCGCTCCCCACAACAGACAGACACCCTGGGAGGCGGGTGGGCCTGAGAGAGCTCTTGACAGGAACGGCTCTTTTTCAAGGACAGCTCTTATCAGAGCTACGGCTTGCCCCAGGTCATCCAGCCAGGTGCGAGTGGAGGAGGAGTGGGGAATCAACCCCGGTTCTTCCAGATTAGAGTCTGCACACTTAACCACTCCACCAAGAAGAAGAGAAGAGACTGGATTTATACCCCGCCCTTCACTACCCAAAGGTGTCTCAGAGCAGCTTATAAGCTCCTTTCCCTTCCCCTCCCCACAACAGACACCATGGGAGATAGGTGGGGCTGAGAGAGCTCTTGACAGAAACTGCTCTTTTTTCAAGGACAGCTCTTATCAGAACTACAGCTTGCCCAAGGTCATCCAGCCAGGTCAATGTGGAGGAGGAGTGGGGAATCAAACCCGGTTCTTCCCAGATTAGAGTCCGCTCACTTCACCACGACACCAAACTGAAGAAGAGGAGGAGGAGGAGATTGGATTTATACCCCATGGCCCTTCACTACCCAAGGGAGTCTCAGAGCGGCTTGCAATCTCCTTTCCCTTCCCCTCCCCACAACAGACACCCTGTCAGGTGGGTGGGGCTGAGAGAGCGCTTCACAGAAACTGCTCTTTTTCAAGGACAGCTCTGACAGAATTAGGCTTGTCCAAGGTCATCCAGCAGCTGCGAGTGGAGGAATGGGGAAATCAAACCCGGTTCTCCCAGATTAGAGTCCACGCACTTAACCACTACACCAAACTGGCTCTACACCAAACTAGCAGTAACTGGCATGCTGCTATAACAGTCCGTTGCTACGGCAGTTACTGACAAAGCCAACCGAAGCTGCTTCCTTTCCCAGTGATGGAGAGGGGTGGGGTGGGGGAAAAGGCAGCTATGGGGAAGCCCCGTGGCCGCAGCAGGGCACTGGCAGCTTCAGCAGCAGGGCAGAAAGCACTGAAGGACACCACTACACACAAGAGGCCCCAGATGTGGGAAACGCATCCTGGGGCAGCCCAACTTCAGCCCCACCCCAGCCTCTCAGTTACAGCCCGGGCTCAACAGCCGGATCTTTGGGGAGCGCTCCTCTACACGGTGCGGGAACCGGGCGGTGCCACTCACCAGAAAGGGGGGTCCCGCGAGCATCTTCTCCCCCCTGCCCAGGGTGGTCCACGGCAGACGGCTCCTCCCCTTGCTCCACTTTGCATATAAGTCCCGGTGTGGGGAGCAGCTGGGGCTCTGCAAGTGGGAGAAGGAGAGGGGTCTGAATGGGCTGTCCCCCAAGCAGGGGCGCTGGGAGTCCGGGACGCTGCTGAGACAGACTGCGGCTGGGCTTCCTGCACGAAGCATGCTCAGGATCCAGACCTCAGTCACGGCCCTCTCGCCAGCACTGCAAAGGGCCAACCAAAAACAAGGGAAATGCACAGTACAGTCACCCTCCTTGTACCAGGATGCGGCCTCCCAGACTGCCCAGGAAGTGAAGCCCTGCTGAATCCTATGACAAAGCACCACTACAAACACGGACGATCCACAGATGCAAAGGGGCCAAAATAGTCCAATAGTCTTCACAGAGTAGCATCAAAAACATGTAACGAAGAAAGTAGCAGAACACGGTATCTTCATATCCAAGGTGCTTGGCCGGTATCCCAGTAACTTTTGGCCAGTTACCAAGGTGCTTGGCCGGTCTCCCAGCTGCTTCACGCGTCGCCGGCTAGTGTGACCGCGTTTCGCAAACAAGGCTTTATCAAAATCACTCTGAAACACAAGTCCCTTGGTTATATTTCTAAGTAACGAAGATCTAACGGGGAACTGCGTCTCCCATATCCACTGATCGTGGCAATGTTTACAGCATGTTATGGTTACTGCTATAAATTTATAATTTATTGTGGTTTCACTACACAGTTGGTTTTTTGTTGGTAGCACTGCAAAGGCAAGCAGGGCTTCACTTCCTTGGCAGGCTGGGAGACCTCATCCCGGTACCAGCTAAATTCCTGACTCGCCATGCTTCGTGAGCTGGCCACGGGCAGCAAGGAGGGCCTTTGACGGAGACCCCAGAGGACTGATTCATCCCCACCACCACCACTGTACTTTGAGCACCTTGTACACAACTTGGGGAGGCTTTGGGGTCTGGACAGGTTAAAATAAATAAATGCACCCAAGTATCCCCCGCACACTATGTGTTGGTGTCCTCCTGTAGTGAAGAAGAAGAAAAGAGATTGGATTTATACCCCATGACCCTTCACTACCCAAAGGAGTCTCAGAGTGGCTTACAAACTCCTCTCCCTTTCCCTCCCCACAACAGACACCCTGTGAGGTCGGTGGGGCTGAGAGAGCTCTTGATAGAAACTGCTCTTTTTCCAAGAACAGCTCTTATCAGAACTACAGCTTGTCCAAGGTCATCCAGCCAGGTGCAAGTGGAGGAGTGGGGAATCGAACCTGGTTCTCCCAGATTAGAGTCCGTGTGCACTTAACCACGACACCAAACTGGCTCTCTGCTGCTTCCGTCTTGGCTCTGCAAAGCTACAGCAAAGCTTTTCACAGGGAAGGCCAGCAACACTGGACTTGGACCGAGAGACGGCCTTCTTCAGACCACCCGCCCCGGGGCCAGTCCTCACCCAGCGAGGCCACCAGCTCAAAGTTGTCCGCCATGACCTCCCGGTACAGGTCCCTCTGCCACGCCGTCAGCATCGCCCACTCCTCCAGCGAGAAATAGATGGCCACATCCTCAAATGTCACCAGGCCCTGCAAGACAAAGGAGGACCCCTTCTTGCACCAAGCAACCCAGGGCTCCTTGTCAGCCTCTACCGGGGGAGGGGGAGAAACCAGGGCTGATGCCCACGGGACCCCCAGACCACCTTCCGACACAGCAGCCTCTCCCACCAGCCCATCTCAGAGCAAGGCTACGGAGGGAGCCCGTTTCCAGTGCCAGAGTTCAGTGCTGGCACATCTGAAGAGAGCACGTCTGAGCGCTACCATGTGACCACAGCCCATCCTTACGATGCCCTTACGATCACCCTCTGGGTGAGGAAGGAAATTGCTGAGCAGTCGGGTTAGAACAGATAAGAGGAAGTCCTTCTTCACCCAGAGAGTGATGAATCCGTGGAATTCACTGCCATAGGAGGTGGTGGCGGCTACAAGCACGGACGGTTTCAAGAGGGAATCGGATAAGCATATGGAGCAGAGGTCCATCGGTGGCTCTTAGCCACAAGGTATAGATAGGGACTCTCAGTCTGGGGCAAGGGATGCTCTGTATTCTTGGCGCCGGGGGGGGGGGCAACAGTGGGAGGGGCTCCTAGTCTCCTGGCCCCACTGCTGGACCTCCTGATGGCACCTGGTATTTCTGGCCACTGTGGGACACAGAGTGTTGGACTGGATGGGCCACTGGCCTGATCCAGCACTGGCTTCTCTTATGTTCTTATGGATAAACATCTGGAGCAGAGGTCCATCAGTGGCTCTTAGCCACAAGGTCTAGATAGGAACTCTTGGTCTGGGGCCAGTGATGCTCTGTATTCTTGGTGCTTTGGGGGGGCAACAGTGGGAGGGCTTCTGGAGTTCTGGCCCCACTGCTGGACCTCCTGAGGGCACCTGGTATTTTTGGCCACTGTGTGACAGAGTGTCGGACTGGATGGGCCATTGGCCTGATCCAACATTGGCTTCCCTTATGTTCTTATAAGAGGGAATTGGATAAGCATATGGAGCAGAGGTCCATCAGTGGCTCTTAGCCACAAGGTATAGGTAGGAACTCTTAGACTGGGGCCAGTGATGCTCTGTATTCTTGGTGCTTCGAGGGGGAGGGGGCAACAGTAGTGGGAGGGGCTTCTAACGTCCTCCTGGCCCCACTGCTGGACCTCCTGAGGGCACCTGGTGTTTTTGGCTCCTGTGTGACACAGAGTGTTGGACTGGAGGGGCCACTGGCCTGATCCAACATTGGCTTCTCTTCAGTTCTTATAGGAACTCTCAGTCTGGGGCAAGGGATGCTCTGTATTCTTGGTGCTGGGGGGGGTCAACAGTGGGAGGGGCTTCCAGTGTCCTGGCCCCACTGCTAGACCTCCCGGTGGCCCCTGGTATTTCTGGCCACTGTGTAACAACAGTGTGGGACTGGATGGGCCACTGGCCTGATCCAACATTGGCTTCCCTTATGTTCTTAAGTCCCTGGGGTGGACTCCTTTACAGTATTTTCACAGGAGTGCTAAAACGTATTGCCCGTGGCCAAAGACCATTACAAACTTAATTTTGGAAGGCCTGTAATGCATCATTTTCACAGCAGCCAATGCAACGAAGGACACGCCAGGTCCACGTGATCTTCTCTGCCACTGGACCCGGCTCAAGACTTGCGAAGCTAGCCTGCTGTTCACTTAGATCGAGGCTCTAGCCCAGGGGTGGCCAAACTGCAGCTCGGGAGCGGCATGGGGCTCTTTCACACAGTTTAATTTAATGTTAATAAAAAGCAAATTTGCATATTTTCCAGTAAAAACGTGTGTGTCATTCTTGTTCGTGTCTTGCGGCTCTCAAACATCTGACGTTTATTCTGTGTGGCTCTTACGTTGAGCAGGTCTGGCCACCCCTGGGCTAGACAAGCTGCCCCAAGCACAATTCTGTAGCCTTCTCCAAACTCGCAGGCTAGCTACTGGAGCCTCTCCCAAAGATACCAACCAAGCTTGAAGAACATTGGCCCAGGGGGTCCAATTCTACAGTCCATAAAACAGGTTGCCCCCATCCCCTCCATTGTTTTCTAAGTTACTTTTTCCCCACGGGGCTGTTAGTGGCTCTGGGGGGGGGGAGGGGTTTGAAGGGGAGGCTCCAAATTTTCGGAGTAGCTTCGGGAGCCTAAGAGTTTGGAGCCTCTCCCTCAAACCCTTCCCCTCCAGCCCCCAAAATATACCCTATGTTTTCGCCATTGACTTCAATGGCCTATAGGATATAATGGGGCTGAAACTGACATTCGGCTAGCGGAAAGACTCCTGAATTGGCACCTACTGCCGAAATTGACATACAGGAGTCTTTATGCCGACGGAAATTGATTCTGCCAGATTCCGCCGAATCCGAATCGGGCTTAATTTTTTTTTTTTGGCACACCCCTAGTCAAGGGGTTGCAGCACTTTCCCCATGAGGAAAAGAGCATGAGCTGGGAGGGGGGTTACTGTAGAGAGAAACAAGTGGGGGAGGGGCTGACCTGACAGAAGGCTGCAGAATTATGCTTGGGGCCGCTTGTCGTCCCTCCTGATGCTAGAGCTCAGGGTCACCAGAGGGGCAGCAGACTCCAGACAGAGAGAAGGAGGTGTTCGTACTCAAGGGCCAAACGGCTTGTGGAACTCCCTGCCACCAGCCCATCCACAGCCATGTAGGATATGGGATCAATAGAAATGATAATTTCTTAGTTTAGATAGCATGAATACCTGTATCCATAAGAACATAAGAGAAGCCAATGCTGGATCAGGCCAATGGCCCATCTAGTCCAACACTCTGTGTCACACAGTGGCCAGAAATACCAGGGGCCATCAGAAGATCCAGCAGTGGGGCCAGGACATTGGAAGCCCTCCCACTGTTGGCCCCCCCCCAAGCACCAAGAATACAGAGCATCCCTTGCCCCAGACCAAGAGTTCCTATCTATACCCTGTGGCTAATAGCCACTGATGGACCTCTGCTCCATATACCTAATACCATGCTTGTGGCTGCCGCCACCTCCTGTGGCAGTGAATTCCATGTGTTAATCACTCCTTGGGTGAGGAAGTACTTCCTTTTCTCCATTCTGACCTGACCGCTCAGCAATTTCATGGAGTGCCCACAAGTTCTTGAATTGTGAGAAAGGGAGAAAAGTACTTCCAATGTAGAGCATTCAGTAGTTACCCAAATAAGCCATGCTCTTATGGAAAAATTTAGTTTAGTTGCATGTTATGTAGTGGAAAATAAGACAGAACTTTAGAAATGCATCCTTCTGTGTTAAAAGGCCTTCAGCTAACTCAGGAAACTGGAAGAAAGGAATGTGCCTCATGGGCAATTGTGATGTCCTTTGTTAATTCAATTGCTCTGAAGGACATTTATGGCCCACAGATCTGCAACAGAAAAACATCGCAATGGGTCTGGATGTTCCCAAGACAGCATCCCCCTTTGCAATGCCAGACGCCAGGATGTCTGATAAGAGCCAAGGATTGTGTTAGAAGTCCCATCTTACATTCTATACCGATGCAAAAGGCCTTGAAGAAGAAGAAGAGATTGGATTTATACCCCCTGCCCTTCACTACCCAGAGGAGTCTCAGAGCAGCTGACAAACTCCTTTGCCTTCCCCTCCCCACAACAGACAGACACCCTGTGAGGCAGGTGGGGCTGAGAGAGCTCTGAGAGAAACGGCTCTTTATCAAGGACAGCTCTTGTCACAACTACGGCTTGTCCAAGGTCATCCAGCCAGGTGCAAGTGGAGGAGTGGGGAATCAAGCCTGGTTCTCCCAGATCAGAGTCCGCGCACTTCACCACGACACCAAACTGGCTCCAGAAGAGGACCTCAGTGTGCCTTCATGTCTCTAGGTCAGATAAACAAATGCAAATAATTGTAACCTTAGCCAAATTTGGGGTGCACCAATGGAAGGATGCCAGTTCATATGATGCTACCTGTTTAGAACCAATTGTGGTTGTTACTGGTTGTAAACCATTCTGATTTCATTTTGGGTATAAGACCTGCTGCCCTTCCTGTCCAGGGCAGAGAGAACAGCTTGGTAACACTGGGTGCTTTGGCATCTACTTCCGTCTCTCCTGTTTCATCGCGATAAATGGTTAGTTATCCAACTCACTGGACTGTGTGTTCCCCACGGGGCACAGATCTGTGCAGCAGCCATGAGTTCCACAAGCCAACCCCCCCCCCCGTCATGGCAACATCGCTGAGTGCCCGCTTGGCATGTGGAGGGTGCCAGGCTCAATCCTCAGCAGCAGCAAGACCACAGCCGGAGAGCCACTGGTGGTCACGCCAACCTCCCCTGATTGATTGATTGAGTGGTGGTCTTACCTGGACAGCTCCCTGTGCGCTCCTGGGTCAGGATGTCCTTTCCCGCTTCCTCTTTTTAGCGCACCGTTCTCTATACAACGCCCTAGCAGCTGTTAAAATGCAGGGCAGGCTCCTTCGCTGGGATGTTCTAGTTCTCTACAGAGTCTCCATTACCTTCCGCTGGCTCCAGCTCTCCCAGGCGGGCACATGGCCAATGGCTGCCCACTCGCAAGCCCTGGCTCAGACTTCTCCTGGAGGCAGTACCCCAAGGAAAGGGGCCGCCTTCCTCTGGCTAGGCGATTGGCTTCCCCTCCCACTTGACCCGGGGTCAGTGCAGGTCAGAGCAGCTTTCCCTGCCCCCTCCAGATTGGAGAATTCAGGGGGGGGGCACTCTCTGCTCCCTGCCTGGAGAAAGGGGGGGTGGGGAGAGAAGGGGGAAGCCGCCCCCCTTCCTTTTGTCTAGAGACCCATGTGCATTTGAATGAAGGCAGCCTGAGGCCTGATGTGGAGGGGGGGGGGGTCGCCAGGAGTGGGCCTGGCTGTGCGGCTGAGCAGCCAGGGCTGAGGCAAGTCAGCTGGCTCCCTCCCCTCCCCTCCCCGCCAGTGTTCCCTCTAAGCTGAGTGAGTGTGAGCTAGCTCACAGTTCTTTAGCCTCCGGCTCACACATTTTTGTCTTAGCTCAGGAAGGATGGGGCTCCAGAGCAAACTGATGTATGCTGCAGCCAAATCTCTCCCTCACAACTGTAATGCCAGGAGCTCACAAAGTAGAATTTTTGCTCACAAGACTCCTCAGCTTAGAGGGAGTCCCCGCCTAGAGAAAAGCAGCCCGTCCAAAAGCGCAATGGGGGCTTCGCTCCTCGCCAGCCTTGCAGGAGAAATGGCATCTCCTCGCCCCCCTCCGCAGGGGCAGCCGAAGGTGCTCCGGGCACGGAGAGACCTTGTGCAGGAACACCCCGAATGGAAGCGACGGGGTTTTTTTCTCCTCCCGGCAGCTGGCAACCGTGCCAGGAGCCCGAGGACCTCGGGGCCAGCAGGGATGCGGCCGGCGGGACCCGAAGCCCGGGGCAGGGGGTGGGAGCAGGCATCCCCTTCCTCGCTGTGGCGGCCCCCGCTTCCCAGCCACGCAGGGACCCGCACCGGTGCCCTCCGTCGGGGGCCGAGGACGCCAACGCCCCCTCCGGGGGGGCTGCTGCATGCACGTGGGC